TTTTGGTGTGATTGTGCAGTTATTTATACATTGTCATTTGCATTTATTTTTCTCAAATTGCATAGTGGTATCTCTTTTCTTATTCTAATTGCTAGTTTGGCTTTTTGGTTAACTTGTAGAATTTTTTAGATATATATTATGGGTTCTGTCTCTTTGTTTGTCATATATTTGCAATATTTTTCAGAGTATTATTTGTCTTACAACTTGGATTAAAGTGTTTTTTTCCATTTTTTTAATATTTATGTAGCTAAAGATACAAATCTTTTTTTAAAATATAAATTCCAGGCTTCATCTGCCTAGAAGGCAATGCCAAAATTATAAAAATATTCCAATATTTTCTTCTAGTACTTAAAATTTTTGATACATTTTCATTTACATACATTTGATCCATCTGGACTATAATTCAGTTTAGGTGTGAAGCAGAAATTTATTTTCGTTTTTTGCTACTGATTTGAAATGCCTAATTATCATATGTTAATTTTCTATATATGGGTCTGCTTTTCATCTCTATTCTATTTCTTTACGACGAAAAGATGAAAAGGCACAACACTGGTTTAATTACTATAGTTTTATTTTAAAAAGTCCTGATACAACACAGCACGGTGGTTAAGATCACAGACGCATCATAGTAGGTAAAAACATTAGACTCTGGTTCCAGGGGACACTACCACTTACTAGGACTGAGACACACTGCTTATTCATTCTGTACCTCAGTTTCCCCATATTTAAAACGGGGATGATAATGTGATTGGGAAGATTTAATGAATTGCTATATATAAAGTACTTAAAAACAAACCAGTGCCTCCCACATAGGAATTATCATGGTTTTGGTTGTTATTATGTGTCATAATTTTCCCCACAATTTTTTTGCTTTCCTCTCTCATACTCTGAATGATTTTTAACATCAGTCCCTAGGAGGGCCTCCCAAGGAATTTCCCAAAGAGAGTTCCCTACCTATGAGGAATTCTGATGCCACCTGTTAAGAGAATTCTTTTTTTTTTTAATCTGGCACATAGTAAGCACTCAATAAATGGCGATCATTATTATTATAGTTGGGATTATTACGTTGGAAGGAGCAACGAGGGTGCAAAGTGAGTACATCCTCCTCGATGTGTCCTTCTCCTCCAGTCCTAATGGAGTCCACGGGAGAGAGCAAAGGGAGAGAGACATGGTGTAGGGGGAGGGTGCCGAGGAAGCAGCTTGTCATATTCTTTTGGGGGAATTTGTAAGTCAGACTCTTTCTTGCCCCTCAGAGCATGCTCCTATGGTCCTCGCCTTTAGGAACTTTCATGGGAATTAGGAAAAAAAAAAAAAAAACCACCCCATTTCTGTATTTCAGCTATGTTTCTCATATATCTGGAGAAGATAATGCTCCCAAGAACTGCATTTAGGGTTTAACATGGGCTTTAGCACAGAGATAGTCAGTGGTTTAGCTAAAGCTCACGGGGCCAGCAGGCAACACGGATCAGTGTTCGTCCAACTTTCTGCTCATCAACCTCCTAAAACTATTTTGGAATAAATACCATGTACCCTTTATCAGATTTTCAGGTTAACATCTACACATTTTTTAATCATAAGTTTAATAGCTATTTTTTTAAATGGTAATTAGAGGTATATAGTAAATGACATTTTAAAATAAGAGTTGACATCATAGCAATTTGATATTACCATCAACCATTAAAAAAACAGAAGCTTTTATTTGACACAGAAATGTTACTTCCTTTTTCTCCTTGAACTCATATTTTAATTCCCTTTATCCCACACCATTTTATTGTTTGTTTTCAAGTGTTTTATTCATCAGTTTGTCAGACTTCTTGATAACGTAAATAAAAACCTAAATAAAATAAAATAAAAACATAAATAAAAAATAAAAATGGAAATTTTGTTTCCTGTGACTATAAGGCCATACGCGTTCACAAAATTTATTTTCTGGAAAAATTGATCAAAATATGCTTTTAACATTTTTATGAAGGATTATTCAACATAAAATTGAAATTTTATTTAAAATGTGTACCTATATAAGATGGATGGGGTTGTATTTTTTCCAATTAGTTCAAGTATGCATAGATTGATATAATTTAATGCTAGAATGAGATAGGGTTCAGCACCAACTCTGCTCCTATGTTTGGTGTTTATAGATATAAAGGCTGAGAAGCCTGGTTTATAAAAATAAGTACATGGGAATAGGAACTGTTTTGTTACATCAACATCAATATTTTGAATTGTCCCTTTGTCACCCAGAAAGTTGTAACGCCCTGAGGCAATGGCACCACAGTAAGAGTTGAGATGGGTACAAGGTTAGGTTCTCGGGAAGGAAACGTAGGGGCAAAGTGTTTATTAGGGATCGATATCTGTGAAATGAATGAGGAGGAAGTAGATCTGGGCGCAGAAGAAACCTGCAACACCTTGGCCAGCCTGGCAGGGAGCTGGGAAGTGAATACTGCCTGTTAGTGCTGTCTTGGTGACAGGTAGCTCGGGCACCAGGTGTGGGGCCATCCAGGGAAGGGTGTGACCTCAGGCAGGGTGGCCCCCTAAAGGAGCTGATCTTTGGGGGCTGTCTGCTGGACACACCCTCCACAGATGGGCCGTCTGGTGGTTCCCTAGGGCTGCCATAACCAATTGCCACCAACTTGTCACTTAAAGTAACAGAAATTTACTCTACCACAATTCTGGAGGTCAGAGGCCAAAATCAAGGTGTCGACAAGGTTGGTACTTTCTGGACGCTCTAAGGGAAAATCCATTCTACCCCTTTCTCTCAGTTTCTGGGGGCCCCCGGCAGTGCCTGACTTTCCTTGGCGTGCAGGTGCATTATTCCGATCGCTGCCTCTGCCTTCACAGGGCCTTCCCTTCTGTGTCTCCGCCGTCTGTTTTCTCCTTTTCAGTGTCTTGTAAGGATACTCATCATTGGATTTCAAGCCCACCATAATCCAGGATGATCTCATCTCAAGATCTGCATCTGCAAAGACCCTTACTCCGTATAAGGTGCCGATCTGAGGTTCCGGGTGGACGTATCTTTTGGAGGTCACCATTCAACCCAGTACAGGCAGCAAGTCCTTTGTGGAAGGGTAGCTGGGAAGCATAGTCTCATATCTACCCCTTTTTGTAAAGTGGGAAAAGAGTGATTGTAAACGGGAGCTAAGAAAGAAACAGGACTAATGTGAGGCTCAAAAGGCGAGCAGGTTGCCAAGCAGATCAGCTTTAGAAATGAGAACATATGGAAGCGGAGTGTCTGGAAATTGATACTCCTTGGAAAGTCTTTGTGTACCCTAGGGTGACAAGTAACCCAGTTTGAGGATTTAGTGCAAGCTGATTATTCACTTGCACAAATACAGACCTCAGGTTGCTAGAACTCCAATTATTTAAAAGAACTAGAAATTCATGCTTTAAGTAATTTCTCCTTGTTTTTAAGTGTTGGTATGTAATTCAAAACAAACAAACAACGTGGACCCAAGAAAAAAAATGTGTGTGGGCCGGACATGGGCCCAGAGGTAACCTGTGCTTTGTAATGTTTCTATGCCTGCTTCTACTGTAGTAAGCAGAAGAAATATCATAGTAAGTAAAAGGAATATCTTAGTAGGAAGATGAAATGCACCTGCCTTTGATGGCTATGGATTTGCCATCTCCCCTACAGAGCTGTATTAGTCAGGGTTTCCCAGATAACTAGAACCAATAGGGTATATATATATATATATATATATATATACAGAGAAATTCATTTTGAGGAATTGGCTCCCACAGTTGTGGGGACTGGCTGGTCCAAAATTTTCAGGGCCGGCTGGTAAGCCAGAAACTCTGGCAGGAGTTAGTGCTGCAGTCTGGAGGCAGAATTTTTCCTTCTAGAAACCTCAGCTTATGCTCTTAAGAACTTCCAACCGATCAGCTTTCCAATTAGATGACAAGTAAAAAAGAGAAAGAACTTCCAACTGACTGGACAAGGCCTCCTCACATTATTGAGGGTAATCTCCTTGACTTAAAGCCAACTGATTATAGATGTGGAATAACCTTTCCAGCAACATCTAGATTCATGTTTAATTAAATAACTGGGTACAATAGCCTGGCCAAGTTGACACATAAAAGTGACCATCCCAAGAGCCATTACTCGCCATGTTGAATTAAAGAAGCTGAGGAGTGGGAGGGACCGTACAGGTTGCCTGGCTCGGTGGCACCTCTTAGTACAGAAGGAGGAAGATGAGGTCCGGTGAGGTGACGTGACTTGCCCAAGGCCACACAGCTGGCTAGGAGAATGAAAGCTCAAAGCAATGCTCTGGACTCCCAAGGCAGAACTCCTTCCACTGTTCTACCCTCCTGCAACTCAATGTCTCGAGACCAAAACCACAGCATTTTAGAGCACAAAAGCTCCTTAGAGATTATATGGGCCACGCCCCTCATTTTACAATAAGGTCTAGAGACGTTAAGCTACAAGGATTTTGGTTCCCAGGGAGGAACATTTTCCACCACACTTAGTAGAAGGGGTAGCTAGGCAGCATAGCTTCGTATCTGCCTTATTTTGTAAAGTGGGAAAAGAGTGATTGCAAAGGAAGCTAAGAAAAAAACAGGATAAATGCGAGGCTCAAAGGCATTGCCTTTCACACAAGGTAGAGATGATTGCACTCGATGTAAACTGATCTCTGTTAATTTTTTTCTTTCAAAACATCATCTCTTGTAGGAGCTTGTTTTCTTATCATTGACTTCCCAAAACAAAAGCTGAACTAGTCTGATTAGTTGGGAGTTGAATTAGTTTTCCCTGATCAATAGTTTTCCCAATCAATGTTTTCCCTGAAATTTTTGTAGTTATTCACTGGTTGTATCTCTAGAGCAGCAAGATCAAAGGTTCAGCAGTTCCTTTATAGATAAGTTTTTGAACTCCTTCCCTTTCTGCTACACTGGTGGTTCTCTAAGAAGACCATAGGAGTGGCTCCATTCCAGTAGTTCATAACACAATGAATTCTAACGCTAATCAGTTTGATGTCACATTACGCCCATTGCTCTGGCTTTTTCAGATATCGTAAGTCACATTTCCAAATCATCATCTCCCATCCTATGCCCCAAACTCAGCCTTTCCCCAGCCATACGCCAGAAGGAAGGGCTCTTACAATTACATTTTTCCATTTTCCATCTGTGGCTGTAATTCAGCATGACATTCACACTTACAATCCCAGTGGGGTCAGGGACAGTACAGGGCATGTTAGGGTGAGGAAAGGAGACCAGCGTGAGGCTCTCTGAGGTGACATGTGAGAGGGAAGGGGTTTTCCATGTGTCTCTGGGAGCTGGGCTGGTGAGCAAGTCCTGCATTTTTCCTAACTGCTGTTTGTGAAGAAGCTCCGATTTCCATTTCCAACAGGGTCTTGATAGTTCTCCTATGATTTGCTTATTCTTTGAGCAAGGCTTAAAATCAGAGGGTTTTTTGGTTGTTGGAGAGAATGGCCAAAAAAATGGTCTATTTACAGGGCACAGCCAAAGGAAATGAAAATTCCTAAAACAACGCAAACGTCTCTTCTCCCTGTCCCTTCCCTGTCCTTATTAAAAAAAAAAAATTTTAAAGGGAGGTGGAAGAATGAATATAATTTGACAATAGCATGGAGTTCACTGTTTGTCTGGGCAGGGAGCAGGGAGAACCAAGTCTCTGGATGTCACATGTCCTCTGAAATAGCAGTGGAGGGAAAATAATTCAGCAAATTCTATTTATTTTCACAGCCAAAGTCATGATTCTCTTCCCACAGAATCAAGGCCTAGAATCCTGATATCAAATTTAACAATACCAAATTCTTTATTTTCCAAGATAAATAGGTTTGGGAAATGGCCAGTGGAATTTTCCACTTCAGTTAGCCACAGTGGGGGGTTTACATTGTTACACAATTGCAATGAAGTTTAGTAATGAGCATCACAATGGAAAATTAATAAAAGCTCAGTGTAGCCCAGCCCATTCAAGTAATTGTCAATTAAAGCTACAATCAATACCGAGGTAATAGCTCATGAACAAGGATAGCTGGGTACTTACTTCATTAATGTTGCAAATCGATGTCGACCATTTGGGAGTAAGTGCAGAGAAATGAGCTCATATATTGGAGGTAATCATAGTTGGGGAACTTGCTGGCTAGAAGGAGACTTAGGAATCAGTCTGCAAATCGACAAATGTCAGGGAACAAACCAATCTGGTTAGCAGAGTGTTCTGGTTAGCAGAAGGCGAAAACTTGTTTCAATCCTTGCTGCTGAAATCCTTTGAAAGTACCTTATTCTCTTTTCCTACACTTGGGAAGTTGATCGATTGTATTTATGTCCCCTTCCTGTTTGCCTTGAGCTACCAGTAGTTCTTCTGCCATTAAAAAAAATGGCTATGAATATTTCTTTCATAGTCTTTTGTAGCACCGGGTGACCCTCCCTGAGCTGTGTCTGTTTATTCAACAGGTGGGCCTTCAGAAGGCATTGATTAGGAAATAATCTCTTTAGGATCAGCATTGTTGGGCACTGTGTCTTCCCCTCCCCTCCCCACCCCTTCCTCCTGTCGGCCCCCTCCCCTACAATAGCACCTAAACCAAATACATGCATAATATGAAGTCAGAATGTATTCTGGAAATAATTTTAAAATTATAGGCCTCATGGAAGGAAAAATAATCACATAGAGAATACCCCAAGCAGTGCATGGTTTTTGACTTTCCAGTCTAAAACTGGAAAACAGTACAAATCCAGCCCTATAATCATACCAATAAATTTCACTGCTTCCCTATTGTCATCTGAAAAATTTATTTCCTTCACCTTACTGTCTGAGAATTTATGGGTTTCTTTTTGCCTCATATCCGTAAGCAGCATGAGCAGCCTATGGCCTGCAGGGACACTTCCGGCCTCTGCTCCTCTTCTTCCTGTGGATACTCACGGCTCCACGCTGTGTGGTGTTTCTCCCCATCCCTCAGTTCGGATGTGAGCACTCACAGAACACGGTGATGTTGGCGCGGCCTCATGGGAGAGGTGACAGGTCATGGTGACACCTGTCATGGTGACAGGTCACATGAGTCACGGACAAGCCTGGGTTAGAAGGCTGAGAGGGGATTCTAACGCCAACCTTGTAGATCTGAGACTTGACAACCTTCCACGACCTTAGTTGGCTTCAGAGGCGTTTTGTGAAGAACATGTTTAGAGTATTTCCACTTGGGACTCAAGGGAAAACAGATATCTGGACAAAGTGGAAATGGCAGGTAGCACGATGGGTGCGGTGGCACCCAAACCCTTAATCTAAGGATATTCCTTCAGTAGAAAAGTGGAAAAGATGAGTCTAGAATTGGGAGAAATGGATAATTACTGGGTTCCTCCCGTGAGTGCCAAGCACTGGGCTAGGTGCTCCACTGGCGTCATCTCAAGTAAAGAGCAGTCAACTCAGAGCTAGGAAACTGGCATTTAGGAGCAACCTTGTGTGGCCTTGGAGAGAAGTCACTTAACCTTTGTTGGGCCTCCATTTTCCCATCCATCAGTGCTGTCAGGATCCAACAAGACAATGCACTTGGCAGGGAAAAAGCTCTGTCCTCTGAAGTGCTCGGTGTCAGGGCATAGCATGGGTTATCGCCACACACACAGATCTGGGGAGAAAATCCAGCAAACTTAAACAGTGCTTACAATTATTCAATAATAACAATAATGAAAAAGACATGTCACTTATTTGTACTGAATTCTCCATGATTTTCTTTTCCAAGCCAAGTGTTCTCCTTTAGGAAGAAGCCATTGGGAGTCCATAATTATGCAATAGCAGTGGAGTCATCTGACCTTGCTAATTCCAGAGGAGCTGTAAATTAGGATACACACACGCAGCCAAAGGAAACCATTTCCTTGCCTGTCACCTCATATGTCAACCATCAGTCAGGAGCAGGTTTTTATGGCCCCTTGTAAGAGCCAGGGAATGGGGCACCCTGATGGAGCTGCAGACAGGCCCTGGACGACCCCACCACTAACTGCGCACATTTGTAAGCGCGCCTGCCAGGAGATGCTTTCTTCACAGAGTTAAAATATGAAGTGTTTACTCTCGCACTTCATGAAGATTCCCCCTCCTGCACCAATTCCTCCCCCATGGAGGCCTCCCTCCCCATCATCTTGTTCCAGGGGGGCCTCAAGTTGCTCCACACAAAATGTAGGGAGAAGGCACCTCCCACAGTACAAGTCGCTCCTTTCCAAAGGTGAGCAAGACCACGCGTGCACCTGCCTCCACCAAGTTTAAACACCACTGGGTCCCAGTCTACCCGATCTGCCAATGGGGCCCAAAGTCCATATCAGCCCCTCTACTATCTTACATCATGGTGACCAGCAAGCTGTTGGTCAGAACTGTGCACTCTACCTCTTTCTCTCCGGCCCAGCCACCTTGATGGAGTCACACTGAGAGGGGCCCAGGTAAGGGCCCCAAGGGGTGTTTCCAGAAATAGCCATTCGAAACCCACAACTATATTTGTTTTGGGGATGTTGTTATTTACTATCTCACAAAAAAATTCCCGTATGAAGACCATAAAACACTTTCTTTGATTCAACACTTAGAAAGAGCTGGACTTCTCTTGAGGTGCTGGTTTCTTACTATTGCTCTTAGTTTCATTTCTGTGAACCTAGCAACCAACCTTTGCTCCCTTTTTACTGCCTGCCAGAAGACTTTGTAATTCACCTCGACTCAAAACTACTCATTAAGGTTTTTTAAGCACCAATTTTAACTCTGATTTTATCTTATTTTTCTACCCTCACATTCCCTTGATCTGATTTCTTCATTTAGTTTTGTGTTTTAATAGTGTACATAGGGGAGGGGGGAGGGGGGAGGGGGACGGGCATATACATACATAATGAGTGACATGTGCACCATCTGAGGGATGGTCATGCTGGAGAATCAGACTTGTGGGGGGAGGGGGGAAAAGGGCATTTATTGAAACCTTAAAATCTGTACCTCCATAATATGCCGAAATAAAAAAAAATAATAATAGTGTACATAGCTCTGTCCACAACTTCAAAACTTTTTGGAATTCGGTAGAGCATAAACAGGTAAAAAAGCACACCATCCATTCCAACATTTACTGAGCACCTACTCTGTGCCAGGCACTGTGCTCAGTGCTGAGACACTTGGAGGAAAATAAGGCAGATGGCTATTCCTAAGGCATCCGTAGCCTGGGTGGGCTCTAGCGCCCCGTGGACCTTAGCGACTAGAAACTGCCACCAGGCTGACTTCGCTTACTTTGAACCCTGGAGATGTGGGAGCCACAGCCATGACAAGGAAAGGCCAGTTCTTCTGGTCATGTATTTTATGAGTCACCCTTTCCCCCCACACTTCCTGCAATGTACAGGCATTGGTCTTCTGCATGCTGGCTGTTTGCATCTGTCTTTCCTCTAGAATGCTACATCTCCAGCACAGTTCATGCCTACAAATGTCAGGGAAGAGAAGGGTCTCAGTTAATGTTCATTGACCAGATGGATGGATGAAGAGATATCACTTCCTTGCTTACATCCTTTAGTTTTTAAAACCATACTTAGCATACCATTCAAATTCCTTCCGTCGTTGGCCTGCAATGACCTACATACTATCTGGAATCCATCTACCCTCCTACCTCTCTGACCTCCTTTGCTTTACTATCAACCTCCCTTCTTTTGTTATTGCCAGTGCCTGGAAGTTTTTGTCCCCAGGATATGCCAAGGTCAGATCCTTTCTTCATTCAGGTCTCAGCTCAAACATTACCACTTTCGAGAGGCTTCCATCCAAATGAAAGTACCATCACTACCAGCCCCTCCGTCACTAAGGATTGAATGGCCCTGCTTCTTTGACTTCAGACCACTCGTGTGGACTTTCACATCCCACACAGACTGCTGAAATAACTGCAGAATGCACAAAACCAAGTTCATTGCCTTGTGCAGTAAGGGCATCACTTTGATGGGATCATAAAAGTGTCTTCGAAGGGGGAGGTCAAGGGTGGGGACACTGGTAAGTTTTGAGGATTTACTTTAGGTGGGTCTTTCAACATGGAGACTGATATAATTGTATGTTTATAGTATAAT